AATCCCCTTGCTTTTTGCATGAGAGAACGTCTCTTGGAGTCTTCCTTCACGCGGCGAGTGTCTCGACCCTAACAGTCAACAATGAACTCACTGGAAAAGAAAATCTAGGAATAGCTCTAAGCAGAATGGTAAAAATTTCTACAAAAAATATTACAGAGTACTAAGGAAGTAAATAGTAGAAAATACAAGAAAATTGAGGGATCTCCCATTTCCATGGGTCATTTGAATTACTGTTGTTAAATATGGAAATATTATGAAAAGGATTCTATAAATTCAATTAAATCCTTACTAGAAACCAATGACATTATTCTCAGAAATTAAAAGAACATTCTAAAATTCACTTAGAAGTGCACCACACACACACACACACACACACACACGAAACAAATAAACAAACAAGATAGCCAAAGAAATTCTGAACAAAAAGAACAGTGCTAAAGTTAACACAATATCTGATTGCACAATATACTACAAACTCATAGTTAAAAATAATAACACTATGGTACATGCATAAAAATAAACACATATACTAATGGAACAAAATTGAGGACACAGAAATTTTTTTCACAAGTATAAGTCATCTGGGCTGGGAATTTAGCTCAGCGGCAGGTGCAAGGTCGGGAGTTCAATCCCCCATACTGGAAAAAAAACAAAAACAAAAAAACAAACAAAAAAAGAAACAAATATAGTCATCTAGTTATTCACAGACATATGATGAACAACGTGCAGTCTCTTAATAAATACTGCTAGGAAAACTGGATATCCTTATGCAGAAAATGAAACTATATTCTTATCTCTCACCTGGTAAAAGTCAACTCAAAATGGATCAAAGATCTTGCTATAGAATCTGAAACTGTGAGACAGATAGAAAAAAGAAAGAGGAAAAATTTTGAAGTCATAGACACATGCAATGATTTCCTGAATAGGTACATGCAGTGATTTCAGGAATGATTCCAGGAGCACAGGGAACAATAACAAGAACCAACTAATGGAACTACACTAAATTTAAAAGCTTCTGCACAGTACAAGAAAGGGCAGAGTAAAGAGCCAGTGTACAGAATGGGAACAAAGCTTTGCTAGCTAATCTTTCCACAGAGGATTAATGTCAAGAATGTAAAAAGAACTCCAAAACATAACACCAACCCCCCTACCAAGAATACAATCACTAAATGGGGAAATGGAGATATACTTATCAAAAATAAGTTAAAAAGGCCAGTACGTGAAAGAAAAAATGTTCAGTATATTTGCCCATCAGGGAAATCCAAATCAAAACTCTATTATTATTCAAATTCATCCCAGGCACAAAGGCTATTGTCAAGAGTACAAAAAAGCACAAATGCTGGTGAGGATAAAGGGCACTTCTGCATGCTTAATGGAATGCAAATTGGTACCCATCAGGGTGCCTTTTTGTATGTTTACTGATCATCTTTGTGAAAGTTTCTGATCATTATTAGTTTTTTTCTTACTAATTTATACTACTTTTTAATAGGCTTGTGAGAAAACCTTTGCTGACCGTATGTGTTGCTAATATACCCACTCACCATATTTTTTACCTTAGTGGTCTTTAAGTAGGGTCCCTCTGCTTCCATTCTTTCCCATTAGCTGTTTTTAGATATGGTTAAACATGCTTATGTTACTTTCCTGGGGCACACAACAAAATAGAGCACCATGGCATTCCAACCTAAGCAGAGAAGCTGACAGGGACGGGCCCTTCTGCACCATGCCAGCTACTCAGGATGAAGAGGGTCATGGAAAACGGGTTATCTTAGCATGCCAAGCTAGGAAAATCATCGTGATAAGAGATCGTGTTAAACTAGAAATATATCTGAAGAGGTGTGAACATATAAGGCTTGAAAAGCTATGCCTCCATTTATATTTTGAAGAAAGGAAGCAGAGAACAGTGTGATTTTTTATGGTAGGGGTTTTTACTGGAACACAGACTGTCCTTCCTTTTTTTCTAAAATTCACACGTGCTGATTGGAAGATGTATATAACCAAGGTGCACTAAATTTCCTCTAGAAAAAAAGCCTATTCCATCTTCCCAAATAGTTTATCCATCCAAGATGTCTTCGGTTCTTTGTCCATGTGAACTACACGTTACAATGCTTTTTTATTTCAAAACAGTCTCTAGCCTACTCTCACTTCCTCTTTTTAACAGTAAGTGATGTACTCTATATAAGAAATGGGAGTTGCCATTATTTCTGTTGAGTTGTAAATGAAGCAAATAAACTGAGATGTTTAAACCTCTACAGATTTTTCCTAGTTTTTATAAAGAAGTTAAAACTTATACTGGTATATGGAAACCATGGACATGGTCTGTTGACCTCTGTAAATCGCTTGAGGACCACTGTACTGTGTTTCATTTGGAAACCACTGAAAAACTTCTTGGCACTACAGAACAACGTAGGCAGAGCCAGGTGTAAGAGAACACAACTTCAATCCCAGCACTTTGGGAGGCTGAGGCAGGAGAGTCACAGTATGAGCCCAGCCTGGACAACTTAGTGACTTAGTGAGAACCTGTCTCAAAATATCCCTAGTAACACACACATTCATACACACCTGTACCCACACACACACGCACACACACACACACATATACTCTGAATAAATAAATAAAATATACTAAAGGAACAGCTAGGTCTAAGTAGCAGAACTCTACCTAGACAGCTCTTCTGGGAGTGTTGGATCACTTAGATGATGAACTATGTTTCACCATGGGCAGGTAAAGAAAATTTTAGTTGCTTGATACCATTATTTCACAGAGGACCCTGAGAGATAGACTTGAGCAGTAGGATTCAGCTGATCCAGTCTCCCCACATCAGCTGCATGGAAGGCCCAGTCCAGATCTCAGAAACTCCCCAAAGCCCTTACAGGGCCCCCGGGCAACTGCACAGAATATACTGGTTGCTGGAGACTGCAGTGGTTCCAGGGTCTTGCTGTCCAGTTCAAAGAATGAGATGGAACAATTGATGAGCCTGAAAATGCAATGTTTATTTAAAGTAAAGGAAGAAGAGGGAAAAGAAATGAAGAAACATGAAGTATGAAAGGAAATAAGAAAAGAGAAGATATGCACAGCACCCGGGAGAGACCACCGCAAGAGCAAGAGGCAGCAGTTCCCTGGAGTTATTGGTCCCTGTCTTTTACATCCTCTTCTGATATCAGATCCTGGCCATGATTTGATGGCTGTCTGTGGCTGACAGGTTATGCCCTATTGTCCAGCCTGCTTGCCATTCCCTAATTGCCTACCTCAGTGGGGAACTACCCAGGAGGCTCAGGAAGAAGACCACATCACACACACCACTTATCCTTCTGTTTTCCACCTCTACATCTCCATGAGTCCCCAGCCTGAGGCACCTGGAGTTCTGCAGGCACTGTAGGTACATTCA